AGAAATTAAAGCTGCCTGTAATCCCATCACCCAGAGAGAGCCTCTGGGAGCCTTTAGTTATAATGCAGCATTTAGAAATTCACTTTGGTAGTGAGTTCATTAAAACAGGATCAAGTTCTACATATTTTTGTAACCTATTTTTTAAACATAATGATGATACTCATATTAATAGCTGGCATTTACTGAGCCATTTGTTAATGTGTGAACATGCCCAGCGTCCTTCTGTAAACCCCACGGGGTGGGCATTCTTATCTTTTTTTTTTTTTACCAGTTAAAGCAGCCTGAGAGAGTTAAATATCTGCCCAAAGTCACAGAGGAATAGAGAGAGCCATCTGCAGATTCCTATCAACAGCTATCCTGTCTTGTCTTCTGATGATCAATATGTACATTTTCCCACATTCTTCAATATTCCTTGAAACAAGTAAAAAAAAAAAAAAAGCCTTCTATGATGCATTTGTGTTTTTTAATAACCTAATCAGACAGTGTAGATTTGTGAGTACTCAGTTGTTGATAGCTGCATAATAGTCCATGTTACGGTTGTGCTCTCATTTTCTTTTATTTATTTATTTATTTATTTATTTATTTATTTATTTATTTTGAGATGGAGTCTCGCTCTGTCGCCCGGGCTGGAGTGCAGTGGTGTGATCTCGGCTCATTGCAAGCTCCGCCTCCCGGGTTTGCGCCATTCTCCTGCCTCAGCCTCCCCAGTAGCTGGGACTACAGGCGCCCGCCACCTCGCCCGGCTAGTTTTTTGTATTTTTAGTAGAGATGGGGCTTCACTGTGTTAGCCAGGATGGTCTCGATCTCCTGACCTCGTGATCCACCTGCCTCAGCTTCCTAAAGTGCTGGGATTACAGGCATGAGCCACGACGCCCGGCCTGTGCCCTCATTTATTTCACTCGTCCCCTGTTGCTGGATATGTGGGTTATTTCTGTTTTTTCCCTCTCGTAAATAACATTGTGCTGGATATCCTCGACCTAAGGACCGAAGTTTTGGGAGTTCAGAGTGTCAGAATCAGAAAGGCCCTTAAACCACCATGCTTGGTTTTCCATTTTGCAAATGGGGCAAAGGAAAGGCAGAGAAGGGGAAAGAGGATTTGCCCACGGTCTTGGAGACTGTGGGCGCCTGAGCCAGGGCTGCTACCTGCTCTCCTGTTGGGGCTGGGGTGGGGACGTGGGTGGGGGCAATTGCCCCAGTGGGAAAAAGGGGATCCTGGGGGGATGGTGGGAACACAGGACTGGGTGGAGGGCAGACTGGAGGTGACGGGGAGATGCAGGCTTGGGGTAGGGAGGGCTCTGCTGCCATGATGTCTTTGCAGGGGAGTTGACTGGGATGGGATGGGCCCGAAGGGAGCATTTCCTGCCCTCTGAGATGCCTTTGTAGATGGGAGTGGAGTGTGGGGATAGGTTTGGTTGGTGAGAGGCTTGAGTGTGTGAGAGTTGGGGCGAGTGGGAGGGTGTGTTTCTGGGCTTGGTGGATTTTTCTCGGGGGGTCTGTGGTGTTCAGCTTGGCCTTCTCTGCTCTGCGCATTCCCCTCCTCCCCAGGCCTCTGCTCTCTGGGACTTGGGCTCTGTGGCCCCTTCCCTAGCGGGTGCAGTCCTCATGCCCCTCATCTCCAGCCACGAGTGGGTGTGGGGCTGCTGGCTTCCTGGCCAGGGCAGCTGCGGCTGGGTGGGGGTGGGGACTGAGACGTCCCCCTCCTGGTCCAGGCTCCCCATTGTGCAGCCCCCTTGGCTGTCTTGCTGCCCGGAGCCTGGCCCCAGCCCACATTCCTGCGGTGATGCTCTGGGTCTCCAGGGTGGATCTGGTGAGCGTGAGGGGCACTGAGTTCTCACAGGACTGAGGGATTTTTGGGGACGGAGCCTGCAGGGCCATGCTGAGACACTCTCCCTCCCTGCCCCTAGGAGCTAGTCGTTACATCGTCGCTGTGTGTCTTTGGGCAAATCACTTTACCTCTCTGAATGCTTCATGGCAGACTAACCCTGCCCTTCCTTTCTTCTCAGCAAGTGTGATAAGCAAGGCTTTCCCCTCTCTGTGCCTCAGTTTCCACATCGGTAAGAGGGGAAAATTGAACTCAGTGATCCCTCAGGCCCAGTGTATCCTTGAAGTTGCAACCTGAGGTGGGAAATGTAGGCCGTAGGAATACAGACAAAGCCTTATGCGGCTCCGACTGTGTGCATGCATGATTTTACTTGATTCTCACAACTGCTTTATGAAGTATCATTATTGGCCTCATTTAACCAAACAGGCTCAGAGAGGTTAAGTAACATGTCCAAAGTCACCCAGCAAATAGGCAGAGCTGAATTTGAGTCCAAGACTGTCAGAACCTAAAGCTGGGCCCCCAACCCTTGCTCACGTCGCCTCTGGTCACCAGGAAAGTGAGGCCTGAGTCTGGCTAATTAGGGGAAGGAAGCTCGGGCAGAACTAATTACACTCGATTTTATTCTTGTCTTTTTGCAACATGATTAGTGCTGCACAGGGGTGCCGGGCTCCTGGCCCCCAGCCTGCTGACCTAATTTGTGTGCTTGTGTCTGTTTCTGTAACTTGCCCTTTCTCCCCTCCTCATCCAACCTCTCTCTTCTTGTTTCTCTCTGCACTCTCCCCTGCTGTGTGGCCTTGGCAGTGCCACTTAACCTCTCTGGGCATTAATTGTCTCATCTGCCTGGGTGTAGTCATCCCAGTTCGGCTTCCCTCATGAGGAGGTTGAGGCTTACATGAGGTAAAGACTTGGAGATAATAATAGAAATTTTAACGTAAGCTAACAGTAATCGTGGCTACATTGATTTATTCATTTTTCACTTGGTGTTCAGTCCTGTGCTCAGCCCTTTCCCACAGCAACGCTATGAGCTGCATAGTCTTATCATCGTCTCCATTTTACAGTTGAGAAAACTGAGGTGCCGAGATTAAATGGCTTGCCTGACAGCCAACCGCGTAGTAAAGAGGAGCTGGTTCATTATGCTTCGCCTCTGTGCTGACCTGTTTCTCTAGGAAGGCTCATGGTGGTGTGGGGGCTGGGCACAAGAGACCGCAAACTCTGGAGTGGGCTCTAAGGGAGGATGGGGTGGGAGGGACGCACTGGCCTTCCTGAACGTGTCCCCTGCACTCAGAGTGAGTGATGAGAGGGAGGGCAGAGGTAGCCTTGGAAGTGAGGAGACTTAGCTGATATCCAGCTCATTTGGACCCTCACCCATCACAGCCCTGACAGGGTGTTCTTGGGAGGGAGGGGGCCGGGCAACCTGGGAGGTGACACCTCCTTGCTGCTGGCCCAGGGTAGCCTCCCCAGCTGCTGCTCTAAAACTCTAGGAGAGGATCGGTGGGAGTAGATGTGGAGTGAGGGGGCCCGTGGGTCACTGCTGGTCCTGGTCCCTTCTGGGTTGGGAGCCTGAGGTGCCTCTGTGGAGTGAGGCTGTGGGTGAGTTCAGGAGGGTGTGATGACTAGGGGACTGTGAGGAAAAATGGAAGGCGGGGGGCGTCAGTCCGTTAGGAAGGGTGCCACGTTTCATCCCTATGTGTGTGTGCACTTGTGTATACCCGGAAGGAAAGTGCGTGTTTGAGCGCATGTGTGAGGGGAGGGAACTCGGATGCAGGTGTTGTGGGTCTGTTAATGGCATGTGAGGTGGGTGTATGTCTGCTGGGGTGGGTTCAGGGAGGGACAAGTAGGCTGCACGCGTGTGGAGCAGGGTGTTGGGAGCGCTCGGCGTGTTGGGTCCTGTGCTCAGCCCCTTCTCCTGCAATGCTATGAGCTGCATAGTCTCATCACCATTGTGTGCTGGTGCGTGGGTGTGGATGTTTAGTGGGCATGGACGGCTGTGGGTGTTGCTGAGTTGATATCATGCAGGGGGTGAGGGGCAGCTGCAGGGCACAGATGTATGAATTCAGCCCTGGACGAGCAATGGGTCTAGGGGTGGCCCAGGAATGTCCAGGACAAGGGTTTCAGAGACAGAGACCTCATGCCTGAATTCTAACCTCTGCATCAGTTCCTGCATCTGTGCAATAGGGATGATAAAACCCTGGGCGGTTGTGGTGGTTAAAGGAGGCCGCATAAGTAACGTGCTCCCAGCACCTGACCTGGGGCAGGCCCTCGGCAGCAGCAGGCAGAGGTCTCTAGAGTGCCCTGGGAACGTTCAGCGGCTCCCCTGGGACCCGATGCTCAGGCCTTCATGGGCTGCTCAGGGAGCCTCCGCTGGGTGTCCCTTCCCGAGATTGGTGGTGGCCGGAAGTAGCAGGTTCCATGTTTCTGCCGGGCATGCTCGCTGTGTGTGGGGGGTGCAGCCGAGAGGAAAGGTTGTATCCGAGTTTTGAGGTTCATGTCTGAGTCAGAGGATGCACCTGCCGGAGGTGATGTCTAGGAGCGATGTGTGTTTAGGGAACATGCGTGGCCGTGGCAGTGGCTCCGTGTTGTGGGCCTTGGTGAGGTGAGTGTGGTGCGTGGGGTCAGGAGAATGTGCTGAGGTTTGTCGGGGGCATCTGTGGGGTATGTGGTGAGGAGAGGAGTGTGTGTGTGGCTGTGAGTACCCTAGGGCAGGTGTATATGCAGCTAGGGGTGAAGTAGATGGGTGAGTGTGTGCTGGTGTGGGCTGGGCTATATTGCTTGTAGGCTGTGGTGAGTATACAGATTGGGGTGGGCAGACATTGCACTTAATTGTGTGTGTGTGTGTATCCGTTGGGGTGCATAGTACATGCATGAGAATGTACATGCATGAGGATGTTGGGCTGTTTTGTGTGTGTGTGTTTCTGTGAGTGCGCGTGTGTGTTGGGGTTGTGGAGGCCTCCTATCAGGCGTGGGGGGGTTATGTTTACCTGGAGGGGGCACAGTGAGGGTCAAGGAGCAGCTGGCAGCGTCCTGGGGCTTTTGGATTCAGTTCTCCTTTAAGGGAATGGCATGGATAATTATGCTCATTATGATGGATTATGCAAATGCAGAGGTCGTTTGGGGGTCAAAGGCTGCTTGTCACCCTCCTCCTCAGGCATTCTGTGACTCTTAAGGTTTTCCCTGCTGCCTCTCAGGCTCCGTTCCCCACCCCTCGTTCCTCTGTCCCCTCTGGGAGTTGCAGCTACCAGCACCCCCTCTGTAGCGTTCCTGCGAAGGCCTCACTGAGTCCCAGCGCCCATGCCTGCAGGTCCCAGGTGTCCTTGCATTAAGTTCCTGCTGAGCATCCCAGGTGGGCTCAGGGGTGACCAGGCCATTCCTCCCCCTGCCATCCCGCCTTGGGAGTGCTTGCTGTTCGGAAAGAATGTGCTCTTGGAAGCAGGTTTGGAAAATTACTGAGGTGGCCCCTTCCCCAGCCTTGCCTCATCAGCATGAGGCTAAATTAGGATATGTGAGTTCTCCCCCTCTGCCTCCCATCCTTGCCTTCTCTCCCTGTCTCGTATCCCCCAGCCCACCCTCCCTGTCTCTGCCCCTCTGCCCCCTGGCCTCCCTCTGTCCTCGCCTCTCTGTCCCCGTCTCTGTCTCCACCTCCCCGCTCCCTGTCATCCTCTCCATTCCCCTGTGATCTCTCCCTCTCCTGCACCCCCCCATCTCTGTGGGGAGCTGCAGCTCCTGGTCCTTAGCATGGAGAAGATGGTCGTCATGGTAACGGTTGTCATGTCGATGGCTACTGAGCTGGGGATGAATAGTATCTAGGTGAGTGCTACCTGAGTGGAGGCTGATGGGTTTCCAGGGGGCTCGATGCTTGTCTCTGAGCTCAGAGCTGCACGGCAGGCCCAGCTCCTCCTGCCCCATACTAGTGGCTGTTTGTACCCACAGGCGTGCTGACACGCCGAGCCCTATGTGGCTGCTTTTAGGTGAGCATGTGTCAGTGTGTGTCTGTGCATGTGCTGTGTCTCTGGGGTGTGTCATTTCAAGGGTCTAAGTGGCTTGGGGGTAGGTCTTTGGATTTGTACAGGCTTTTCTTGAAGCAGGAGTTTAGGGGCTAAGTGTCACTGGTCACTGAGGAATTTTGGGGACTCCCTTGTTTTGATACCCATATTTACCTCAGTTGGGGGCTTCCAGGGACCACAGACCTCTTAGTATCCCTCCTCCCAGCTAAAGGCCTCCAAACCACTGCCCAGCCTGCTGGGAAGGATAGAAAGACAGTGAAGACAGCCCTGGGCAGGGGCAGGGGCCGGAGCCTGGGTCCCTGCTCAGTCCCCATTCTTGTGTGTGACTTCAGGCTGCTTGCCAGAGAGCTGGAGGGAGCAGGGACTCTGGGTTGGCTGGTTGCGGTTGTGGAGGGAAGTGGTATGGGGAGCTGTAGCTCCTCCACCGTGGGTGTTTGTCTTTCTGGGCAGAGGGGAGCTGGGGAAAAGTTGGGCCCTACTGCTCTGAGCTCCTGGAATGTCTAAAAAGGAGGAAGACCCAGCAATTCGTCACGGGAGCAATTACACTAATTGTTCCACTCCATGACTCACTGGTAGAAAGTAAATACTGATTAATTCATTACTTTGAGACTGTGTGTGTGTGTGCATTTGGTGAGGGGCACCTCCTGGCTCCCTGCCCTGGCTGGGCTGGGCAGGGCTCTGGAGCAGGTGGTTGAGGCTGGGGATATGAAGACAGGACTGAGATCCTCACTCTGGCTTTGTATCAACTCCAGAAGGGGGCCCATCTGTGGCAGGGGGTGAGAGGCTGGGCCCCAAATGCAGGGCCAGTCTAGCCCTCCCCTGCTCACACACACCCCAGGGCTCCCCACAGCCAGTCCAACATTGCAGCTGCTCAGAGACCACCTCAGACTTACTGAACCACTGAATTTAGTTTTCACAATATTCAGATGTGCAGTCAAGATGAAAAATGACCAGTTTCTAAGAGAAAGTCATCAGCCAGACACTGAAAGCCTTCTGGGATGGGGCCCCAGGTGACCTGCCCCGCCCCACCCCTGCCTTGTGAATTATTCACACGCACGCACTTTCCTTCCGGGTGCACACAAGATCTCTGTCACCCATGTGGATGTCACTCGGCCCACAAGGGCACCTGTTGCCCTTCTGGGCACACCCAGCTGCGAGTCTCAGGTGCCGAGCCCTGTGTCCGCCTCTACCTTCCCCAGGCCCAGCGCTGGCGCAGCGAGAACTTTGAGAGGCCCGTGGACCTGGAGGGCTCTGGGGACGATGACTCCTTTCCCGATGATGAACTGGATGACCTCTACTCAGGGTCGGGCTCGGGCTGTAAGTACCCCCTTCCCTACCCCTGCCTGGTGGCAGTGACCAGTCTGTATCCAGCCCCTTCTCTGAGCAGCCCATGGGGGCTTGCTTCAGTGAGGCAGGGGGCGTTTACTGTATGGGTCAGACAAGTTCTTGGGCAGGATCCCCAGAACAAGAAGGGCAGAACACCCTCCTGGGGACGGAACCAGGCCTGGGAGGACCTCAGAGCCCAGGATGCGCAGCTCTCCAGGGTCCCCCGTCTGCATCTCTGTGTGTGCTGTGTGGCTCTCTCTGCAGACCTTGCTTGGTTTGGGTGGTCCCATCAGGTCCAATAAGCTGTGGCCAGTGGTGGGGTTAGGGCTGTGACGAGACAGGGCAGGTGCTTCAAGTGGTGCCTGGTTTGGCTCCGCCCTGGGGAAGGGGAGCCAGGCCAGGTGGGTCTAGCAGAGTCTCGGGAGAGAAGGACGCTGGGAGCCCCACTCTGCCACATAGCAACTGTGTGCCCCTCGGTGCTCCCCCTCCCTGAGTCCCTGTGTTCTCACCTGCGGATGGTGAGAAATACGCCTTCCTCTCGGTGCCTCTAGGAGGGTTTGGGATAGGAAGTTGGGGTCTGGCACAGAGGAGGAGCTCTCAAAACAGTAGCAAAAAGGCGGTGGCTGAGACTGGGCCCAGTGAGGGCCTGGGCTGGCATCTGAGGAGATGGTACGGGGTCTGCACGCCACAGAGTTGGCTCCCCACAGCCCTCGCCTCTGGTCTCCCCTCCTTAGCCCAGTCCTTTGAGCCCCTTTCAAATTATTCTTTGTAAAACCTATTTCTGTTGGGTCACATCTCTACTCGCAAAGCTCCCTGGCTCCCCTCCCTCCTGCCTGGTTCCGAGCCCAGGAGCTGGCTGTGGCTTCTCCCTCCCGCTTCGCCTGTCGCATTTCCTCCCAAGTTCCTTCACTGTCCCGGCTTTGCATCAACCAGGTTGCTCAAGCAGTTCCCCTGCTGCAAGGGCTTCTTCTCCCTCTTACCCTCTGCCTGTGCCTCTGGGGGGGAAGCCCTTAGTGTACCACCCCTGCCTTGACCGTGTGGTAGGGGTGCCTTTGGGGTCTGACTCTTCCCAGAATGCCACTCCTGTGTTCCCCTGCAAGCCCCAGCAAGTTTTGCAACCAGAAGCGCCTCAGTTGCTGCTGCCTGGTTTAAACCTCATAGAAGCTATAGGTCGGGTGGGCAGGAATAGTCAAGGAAGGCTTCCTGGGAGAGGCGGCCCCCAGAATTTTTGACTTGGCAGAGAGAAGTTGGGGAACATCAGCAACTGGCCACCTCTGGCCAGGCTGTGCCTTCCTCCTTTCTCTCATCTTTTCTGGGAAAATGGGGCAAAGAGAGGGGGTTGGGAGACCTAATCTTGACGGCCATTGCTTACCTGGGATCCTCATGCCCCTCACAACCACCCAGCTCCCTAGCTCTCTCCCTCTCCCCCACCCCCTCAGACTTCGAGCAGGAGTCGGGCATTGAGACAGCCATGCGCTTCAGCCCAGATGTGGCCCTGGCGGTGTCCACCACCCCTGCGGTGCTGCCCACCACGAACATCCAGCCTGTGGGCACACCATTTGAAGAGCTCCCCTCTGAGCGCCCCACCCCAGAGCCAGCCACCAGCCCCCTGGTGGTGACAGAAGTCCCGGAAGAGCCCAGCCAGAGAGCCACCACCATCTCCACTACCACGGCTACCACTGCTGCCACAACAATGGGGGCCCCGACTGTGGCCACAGTGCCTGCCACAGTGGCCACCGCCGCCCCCAGCACCCCTGCAGCACCCCCTTTTACGGCCACCACTGCTGTTGTAAGGACCACCGGCGTACGGAGGCTTCTGCCTCTTCCACTGACCACGGCAGCCACGGCACGGGCCACTACCCCTGAGGCGCCCTCACCCCCTACCACGGCAGCTGTCTTGGACACTGAGGCCCCAACACCCAGGCTGGTCAGCACAGCTACCTCCCGGCCAAGAGCCCTTCCCAGGCCGGCCACCACCCAGGAGCCTGACATCCCTGAGAGGAGCACCCTGCCCCTGGGGACCACTGCCCCTGGACCCACAGAGGTGGCTCAGGTGAGGGTGTTGAGAAGGGACAGGGAGGAGGGCAGAGGACGGTGGGTCAGGGGAGGGATGAGGAGGATGGAGCTGGACAGGACTGAGGACCAGGAGGCTATAGAGATGAGCCAGACAAAGTGGGGGCAAGGGGCAGGACCAAGGGACAGAGATCAGATGGAGAGGGAAGAGGGACAGAAAACGAGGGCTGGGGTGGTTGGATCCTAATGGGATGGGACATGGGTGGGGAAGGAATTGGGTGAACATGTGCATTGGTGACAAGGCAGGCCAGGCTGAGTGTTTCGGTTGAGAGCATTAACTCGGCAGTCTGGTAGCTGGATCAGAATCCTTCCGCTGCCACTTCCTCGTCATGGGACCTCAGGCCAGTCCCTGATCCTTTCTATACCTCCTATTCCTCATCTACGGAAAGGAGAAAACAATAGAATGTGTATCATTTCATTGTGAGCATGAAGTCTCCTGACATTCACAGTGCTTAGAACAGCGCCTGGTGATGGTGCAGCCAGTAGGTTCTCAGCTGCTGTCCTCATCACGGTTGTTAATACCATGGTCTGAGGGTGGTTAAGAGCCGGCTGTATGAGAATGCATCACTTGCCTTGTGGAGGGCTGCCTGGGTGTGGCTCAGTGCTCGGCACTTTACCTGTGTTAGCCCCAGCCCTCATGCCCACCCCACGGGCAACACTGTGGTCATCTCACTTTACAGATGAGCAACTGCTGGCGCACAGGGAGGTGAAGCCACTTCCCAAGGCTCTGCAGCCAGCAGTGGCAGTCAGGATTTGAACCCAGGCAGTTGGTGCCAGAGCCGGGCAGTCTCACAGGGCTAGGGCTGCATGTGTGTGCATTTGGGATATTCTGGATGGGGCAGGGGAATTGACGGGAAGAGGATGAAGATGTCAGGAATGCCAGGGATGGATGAATCCCAAGGACATGAGAGAGGTGGTCTGGTCCCTGCTGTGTGCACTGAGTAAGATGGAGAGGTGGGAACATGGACTGGGTGCCAGAGCCCTCTGCAGCTGGCCTCACTGAGGAGGGCCCTTGGGCCGTGGAGCTGCCTTGGGGCCAGTGTCTGTCCCTCTGACTCCCCAGCCAGCTGCAGCAGGGTGCAGGCCCTTCCCTCGCCTCAAGCAGCTGGGGCAGCCTGGTGTTTTCACACAGACTTGGCCAAGCTGGAAGGGGAAACAATGACGGGGTACGGAACCCAGGAGAAGGTGCACAGAGCCCAGGTTGCTGGAGGAGCCACGGTGCACACTGTGTACACTGGGGCACTGCTGCAGCCTCTCTTCAGCCTGGACACCAGGCTCGCCTTTCCATGCCCACCTTTGAAGTAGCGACATCCCTGCTCCAAATGGCTCCCACAGCCCCCACTTTGGTTTCATGATTCCCGGCTCTGATCCTGCCTCTGAGTGGTGGGAGTCCTAGAGATTGTCAGTCACTGAGCTGGTTTCCAGGACACCTGCCCTGAGGCCATGATGCTCTGCAGGTTTTGCTCTTGGACTGGCCTCCAGGCTACAGGATGCTCTCCTGCCTTAGGCATGGACCCGGACCAGGCCCACATCCATAGCAGCTGCACCCAGCAGTTCCCAAACATCTCGACAGAAATCCCCCGAGAATTGTTACTAAGACTGCTGGAGGGGACATGATGGGGGCAGGATGTGGCCAGAGCAAGAACAGAGACAGTGTGGTAGTGGTTAGAAACACAGACTCTGGAGGCAGATAGATCTGGATTTTAGTTCTGTCCCCCACTTACTAGTTGTGTGTCCTTGGGCAGGTCATTTACGCTCTGAGCTGACTTCCTGCTGTGTAAACTGGGGACATTATTACACTCCTTCGTGGGGATAGTGAGTAGCACAGCGCCTGGCGTGTAGGGAGTGCTAAGTGTTAGCCCCCCAGGGCAGTAGGATGGTGGTGGGGTGTTATGCATGCATGTGTGGTTGTCCTGGGCTCATGCCACCCTCTCTGCAGACCCCAACTCCAGAGACCTTCCTGACCACAATCCGGGATGAGCCAGAAGTGCCGGTGAGTGGGGGGCCCAGCGGAGACTTTGAGCTGCCAGAAGAAGAGACCACACAACCAGACACAGCCAATGAGGTGGTAGCTGTGGGAGGGGCTGCGGCCAAGCCATCATCTCCACCTGGGACACTGCCCAAGGGTGCCCGCCCGGGCCCTGGCCTCCTGGACAATGCCATCGACTCGGGCAGCTCAGCTGCTCAGCTGCCTCAGAAGAGTATCCTGGAGCGGAAGGAGGTGCTCGTAGGTGAGGATTGGGGTCTGGGCCAAGGGGAGCCTGGGAGGATCCCAGAGTGAGGCACCTGGCTGGGCCTCAGTTTCCCTCTAGGAACCCAGAAAGAAGATCAGGGCGTGGTTTCCTAGGAGCCAGATAGGAAGGAAACCTGAGAACTCAACCCCCCAGGACCTGCCTTCTGGCTCCTCCCAACTTTTCTCCTTCCCAATATCCAACCCTGACTTCATGTCCATCTCTAGGTCTTTCCTCAGTGCCCTCTGACCCCTCCGTGGACTCTGACTTTGATCCCTGCTTTCCTGGGCCACACTGGCTGACCCCCTGGGACCTCACTTCCTAGATGCTAACCTCTGACCCATCCTTCAGCTTGACCTTCCCCAATTTTTGACCCCAGTCCCTGTGGACCTGCCCTGGCTGCATCTAGGGAGTCTCTGGACTCCTGGTTCAAATTCTGGCTTTGCACTCAAGGCAAGGTACTTCACCTCTCCAGCCTTCCTTCTCTTCATGGGTAGAATGGGGATAGTCATTTTGCCCTTAATCAATTCTAAGAGGTACATCTGTTCACATGTTAACTCTTCTGTAATTGGGGTATGTCATATTTAGTTAGCAGAGTTTTTTCTTTCCTAGCAGTTATAAAATACTGGGGCATCTTATGACTGATGGCATTTTAAATTTGATGAAGCCCTCAGATAACCCTTCCCTCATAGGGCTGGTGTGAGGGTTCAGTGAGTTAGTGTGTTGGGCAATTAGAATGCAGCCAGTGAAGGCCTATAGTGGTACCCAGTGCTGGTAGTAGTAGTATTGTCTCCATCTTCACTCCAACTCAGATCCAGGACTCCCAGCCCACTCCATACCCTGGCCCCCACCCCTGAGGACCCTTTGCCCTGGTTGTACCCGGCCTCTGGGCCTTGACCTCTGCCCTCTTCCTCCACAGCTGTGATTGTGGGCGGGGTGGTGGGCGCCCTCTTTGCCGCCTTCTTGGTCACACTGCTCATCTATCGCATGAAGAAAAAGGATGAGGGCAGCTACACGCTGGAGGAACCCAAGCAGGCGAGCGTCACATACCAGAAGCCTGACAAGCAGGAGGAGTTCTATGCCTAGTGGAGCCACAGTGCCTCCCTGCAGCCTCAACACCACCCTGCCGTCCAGTCCCCAGCCTGGCCTCACCAGCCCAAGCCTGGGACTGGGCCTGGAACCTGGCCCCAGTTCTTCTCTGCCCTCCCTCCCAAGGTCTGCCCAGGCTGCCAGCCTCACACAGATCTTCCCCGAGGAAGAGGGGCTACTGCCATCTGCCCCAGACTGTGCCCTTATGAGCTCATCTCTTGTTCCCCTCATCCCTGCCACCAGTCTGGGGCTTCAGGACCTCATGTCAGATGGATGAGAGGAAGAAAGCTCCTGATTGGCTGGTGGTGGAAGAAAGGGTGGGGCTTGAGATAGGCCTGAGCCCCAACTTGGCACCCACAGGGCTCACTGAGATCTCCTTTTTGGGGCAGAGAGGCACTCAGACTGATTTCCAGGACAAACATTTGGTAAACACAGCCCTTGAAATCATCTAGACACTCACTGCAACCTCTTGCTCCTATCCCAGGGCCTCTCTCTGCCTGGGTGAAAGGGTATCCCTTGTCACCAGCCTGTTTTGTCCTGGTCTCTCTGGGGTTGTTGAATCTCTCCTCTTGCCTGCCAAGTACACATGTACCCCAGACTTCATTTCTTTCTGCATCTTCCTCCAAGAAACAGCTTCCTGAGGGTGCTGGGGCAGCCACTGGTGAGGAGGGGCTGCTCTGATGTCCCTCCTATGAGGGGACTCTGCACAGACACCATTGCCCACACTGTCACACATATTTTCATGCAGTCCCACACAAGACAAAAGCATGCAATGACAAAACCATACGCAATCCTGACTGCCCAGCCAATCAAGACATATCACAGAACACACACATCCTTCCAAGAATGTTTGTCCTCATGCATCACTTACATACCCCCAGACACTGCAATGCAAGTCACTAGTCATGGTCACATGATAGTGACAGTGTGGCCTCCTCCTACCCCCAGTATACCCACCCTCTGGCACCACACACATTATCTCCAGCTTTCAGGCTCACTGGGGAGGGTGGAATCGAGCCGGAACAATCAGCCCATATTGGGTCCCCCTAAGTTGCCCTGTCATACTCAGTTCCATGCCATGGTGCCCACACCAACCATGCAGCCACCAACCCCAGCCAGTGTCAGACACAATTCCATGTGGATGCACAGTCTCACTCCACATGACCTGCTCTCAATGCTGGAGGGAAACAGGCAGGCCCTTGCCTTTCTTGGAAAAAGTGTGGGGCCACAGCCCTTTCAGGGCATTGCACACAGGTGGGCCTGGCCTCACTCCTACCTTCTTCCTCCCCACTGCAGTTGGCAAAGGGGGAGGTTTGGGGCCAGACCCCCACTGGCTGGCAGCCTGGGGGCTCCTCTAAGGCTGAGGAAGGAAATTTGGCCCCAGGTTGTTGGGGGGTCTTGGGTCTCCCAGGACAGAAGGCCCAGGGCAGGGAGGGGGCATGTGGTTGGGCTCCTTTCTCTCCCTGTGTCCCCTTCCTGCTCTGAGCTAGGGGGCTGACTCTGCCTCCCAGGACACAAGTCTCCAAAGTGCCTGTGAGGGCGGGCCCTCCGCACCCTCTGCCCTCTGCCTGGCCAGGCCAACCTCAGCCCACCTGCCCAGAGGCCCTCCCTGTGGGCACCCCCTCACCTATTTGGCCAGACAGTTCTGGCTGCAGCTTCAGGGGCCATGGCTGGAAGCAGCCCCTGCAAATCCCTCAGGCCCTGAGGTCAGGGTTTGAGGGATGAGACCAGGTGATAGTGGGGGAGGGGTTACTTCCTTTGTTACCTAGCAAGTAGGGCTATTTCCATCGGTATTTTAAATGTGGGGTCACAGATCTTCGGGGGAGGGCGTGCTTGGCAGGGGGCCTCTTGGAGCCAAAGGGATGTGGTGTGAGTTGTGACTGGCTGGCACTCACACTCCCACCCCTCACCCACAGCCCAGATTCAAGTCAGGAAGGCAGGTTTTATTTCAGGGCCCTTTGCAAGATGCCCTGGCAGCAGATTTCTGCAGGATGAGGGGTAGCAGTGTGTAGGCAGTGAGGGTGAGGTTCCGGGGGCTGTCCCACAGCCTGTCTTTTCCAGGCTGGGCTCCATCTTCCAGTCCCAAAACCCTCCTTCACAGGGCCCAGAGGCTTGTGAGGAAGCCAGGTGGACCCAGCCTTAGAAGAGTGGGCATGGGGGGCCCCCAATATCTGGAGGGGGTGGGTTGGCCTCAGTCATTTTTGGAGCAGAAGGGCTGGGTCCTGGGGCCAGAGACCACAAGGCTCAGCCTCCCTACCCTGCTCCCTGGGGTGCTGCTGTCTTGGAGACCACAGCTCTGGTGAGACGGCCTGGGCAGGCCAAGGCTGAGAAACCAGGGAGGATAGAGGAGAAAAGGGCTTGGGCCACCAGCCCCAGAAGGCGCCGGACCTTGGGTGGGAGACCCACCAGTTGGTGTAGGTTCTCTGTAGGGCTGGAGCCCGTGGTGGGGGTGGCCCCAGCAGACCTGGCTCCTCACATCCCGGGGGTTGGCTTCTGATTTGCGGCTTGGGCTCCTGGCACTGGCTTCTCTTCTCTGTGTCCTTAGCATTTGAGAGAAGAGGCCAGGGGCCTTGTTCATGGAGCCCTGGACCCAAGGCAGATGTCCAGGCTTTATCCTCGTGAGGTTGAAGAGTCTAACCAGCCCAAATCTGCCCTGGCCAGCCTGACCAGGGCAAGGCAGTACGAGAGAGTTCAGTGAGGACTAGCTAGGGTTCTCCAAGGTGCAATGCCGATGCAGGGCCCTCATGTACCCCTACCCCTGCCTGTGATGGGGTGTTCTGAGGGGCTTTGGCATTTGCTGGAAGCACAGCGAGTTCCAAATGAGAGGAAGCTTGTGTGGCTTGAGAGCCTTTGGGGCCTTGGCTGCCAGAGCACGAGGCATGCCAGGACGTGGAGAGCCCAGGCCCTGTCTCCAGGGGGCCAGATGGGGCCTTGCCTGAAAGGCTGATCCCCTTGATTGCTGGAGGTGTGTGGGTGGCAACCAGGGCTGGGCAGGGCTTAGGGTGTGTGGACCAAACCCCTCTAGGGTTGGCAAAGCTGCCTGTCAGGCCTCCAGGTGGGGGCCCTTGGACGCAGGGAGCAGACCCTCTGCCTCGCAGGGCAGGAGTAGCTGCCTCCTGGGTTCTCTGGATTTCTTCTCCCAACAACTACAACCCTGAACTTGCCTCCCCAGGCCTCTTGCCTGTAAATAGAAGCCCGCAAACTGTACAGATTTTCAGAGGCATCGAGACTGGGCCCCGGGAGTTGCCATCTGAGAGCCGATGGCCCCAGCATCCCCCAGGTGCCTGCCTGGCACCACAGTGACCCTGGCCTCAGCGTGGCAAATGCATGTAAATATTTTTCGTAGGCGGCGTGGCTCCAGAGAGCCCCCTGAAGACAGTGTCCCTCCCTCTGGTGAGTCCTTTCTCCTGTACAGAACTGGCCGGGGCTGGGTGGGAGTCTGCCGTTCCCTCCCCCAGGCCTTCCCTGCCCCTTCTCTCCCCTGTAACCTGTTTATTAACTGTACCTGTCCTGAGTTCATGGCCAAAACCTTAAATAAGGAAAAAGACAGTGGAAAAAAGAGACCAAGGCGCCTGCCCCGCTGCGGGTACTCACCTGTTCCAGCCTTGTGAAGGAACTGGTTTTGTTTTTGTTTTTGTTTTTTTTGTTTTTGTTTTTTTTGTTTTTTGTTTTTTAACACTTCCCGTGCTGTGCCCATTTATAAGAGGAAATAAAATTAAGCTGAAATGTTGTGCTGTGTCCAGAGTATGAGATAAATACGGTTATTTGGGGAGGGCAGCCCATGGCTGCATCCTGGGCCCCAGCCATCTTCCCCCATCAAAGAAATTGAGAACCAAGCAGGGAAAATTGACTAACAGCCCCTCGTGGGAACCATTATGGTCAAAGCTGCTGTTGGTTGAGAGTGTCCAGGAAACCACGGAGCTGCTGCGGTGAGGCTGGGGTGGGGGCTGTGGTTGGGAGGGGCCAAGCAGTGGTGAGAGGGGCCTGTGGTTCACCCCCAGGGGAAAAACTCTGGCTTTAGGCCACAGAGGAAATTTTGGGGCCACAGGATACCAGGATCAGAGCAGCCGAGATGAGACAAGATGGCTTTGAAGTCTGAAGTCTGTTTTCAAATCCAGGTGTTGACATTTCCTAGCGCTGACTCTGGACAAGCCACTTGACCTTTGTGAGTCTTAGTTTCCCCATCTGTCAAATGGGGTCAGAATACCCCCTGCATGGAGTGCTGTGAGGACTGCATGAGCTAGAATGCTCTGCACGGCACCTGCCACAGTCGGCGCGTAGCTCACAGGTGCTCTGATGATGGAGTTGGAACAGAATAGAACCTCCAGATGGGAGAATGTGACCCAGAATCACAGGTCAGCTCCTGACACCTGGGGTTATAGAGCTGGGCAGGCCTCAAAGCCAGCCTTGGGGCCCTCCTTGGTGTAGAAATCCCTTTTCCAGCCCCTACTTGGCATAACTCCTGTCCCAGCCAGCTGGGTGTGTCCTGAGGGCCAGCGGGCCACTCTGCCTATTTTGAAGTACTTCCTAATTTCAGCTGAAATCTATCTCTCCAGTGTTGCCCATCTCCAGCGCTCGTACGCTCTGGGGGCACACGGGATTGTTCTGCCCCTTGCAATGGGACAGCCCCCAGGTATGGGTGTAACAGTCGCAAAATTCCCTCCTTCAAGGGAAAGCTCTACATATCCTACAAATATTTCTTCTAGAAATGTCTTCCTCTTGGCCAGGCGTGGTGACTCAAGCTTGTAATCCCAGCACTTTGGGAGGCCGAGGCGGCTGGATCATTTGAGGTCAGGAGTTTAAGACCAGCCTGGTCAACATGGTGAAACCTCATCTCTACTAAAAATACAAAACTTAGCTGGGCTTGGTGGCGGGTGCCTGTAATCCCAGCTACTTGGGAGACTGAGGCAGGGGAATCACTTGAACACAGGATTCAGAGGTTGCAGTGAGCCTAGATTTCATCACTGCACTCCAGTCTGGGTGACAGAGTGAGAGACCCTGTCTCAAAAAAAAAAAAAAAAAGAATTTTCTTCTTTGTAATATGTGATAGCCAGGGTGCTGTTGGCCCTGGGAGTGGTTGGAGCCTGAGGCTTATGGCTCTGGTACACCGTCCTACCCATCCCTCCCTCCTTCCAGTAAAGTTTCTGTGCCTGGCTCTGTGCTTGGAACTGGGAGCCGAGGGGTCCCCATGACAGCTCCGGCCTCTCTCCCTAGAGCATGTACAGTCTATCCGGGAGATGGCTGATAACCAGAGTCTTGTGACTGTGATGACACTGGTCTTTGGTGGGGGAGGGTCATTCTTCCTCAACGGCCACCTCCAAACCCCCCCAAGATTGCCCCTCACTGCTAGGCAGTTCAGGGACAGAGCCCTGGTCCCCAGGGCCTCACTGTGGGACCTCAGACAGTTTGACACCTTGGAACCTCAGTCTGCACAGCTATAAAATGGGGTGAAGGGGCCAGACCTGCCGCTGGGAGGTCCTCACAGGAGTGAGTCAGTTAGACACCTGCTATGATGTGCGGGGTTGGTTTACCAAGATTCAAAGCCAAGCATGCGTGGCTGTTCATGCAGGGAGCTTCAGAAGGCAATGCCCCATCTTCTGAGTGCTGTCAGCCTGCTGTCTCCCTCCTACTCTTCTCCCCTCCTCTCTTGAATTCTAGTGATGTGATTTGATTTTCAGCTTGGAGGAGTAGAAAGAGCATGGCCTTGAAGTCAAGCAGACTCATTGCTCTACCTCTCTGAGCCTCGATTTCCTTGAAGGCAAATGAGAACAATAAGGTTGGTATATGGAGGCATGAAGCGTGGCATATATGCCAATCTGCAGTTGGATTTGTATTCTTCTCTTTGCAGCACCTACCTTTTACCAGGCAAACCTTTATTCAAATCCTTTCTCTGTCAGTGACTAGCTATGTGACCTTGGGTGAGCAATTCAAGCTCAGTGCTCAGTTTCCTCACCTGTAAAATGGGGGCAATACTAGTACTGGCCTCATATGCATAGTGCTTGTAACTATGGCAGGCAGAGAGTAGGTGCTGTACAAATGTGGGTAATTATTACTGCTGTTGTTGCTATCACTGTTACTGTTATTCTTATTTGCAGGGCCCAGCACACTGTCTATTGATTAAGTGACACTGAGCTTGGGTAGAAATCAAACTATCAGAGTCAGCTCTAGGAGGAACTACGCCTTAGGCTTGTTAGAGCCAAGGGCAGAGCCTGGAAACCATGTATTTGGGCACAGATAGGCTGGGCACTGCTGGAAGTTGGAGCATTTCCCTCTGGGCCCCGTCACCCAAGATAAGAGCAACAGAATCAAGAGGGAAGGAGGAAGAAGAGCTGATTGTTTCCTGCAGCCCAAGAGGTCACAGCCACCCGGCTCAAGCTGCCCTGAGAACAGAGTGTGCTCAGCTTCCAGGGCTGCCCACCCTGCCTCTGCCGGCCTGAGGGTAGGCTCAGGGCAGACGAGGATCTAGGTTTATCACCACTAGATAACCAGTAGGGATGAGAGAGGCAGACAGCGAAAGGAATGGAGTGAGGCACTATGCCAGGTACGGGGCATCTTGTTAGATCATTGAAGCCCCAGGTCTGGCCTCCTGGCCTGTTTTTGCAACTGCAGCAACTGAGGCTCAAACAGCAGAATCCCAAAGCCCTAGAGCAATGGGAAGGTGCGGTAGGATTCTGCTGCCTCCCTGCCATGAGCTAGCTGTGAGGGTGGGCAGGTTACTACGCTTCTCTGAACCTCAATTATATCATCAGAACAACAGGAGCACTAGGATGTTATTGAAAGGCTCTAATGAAGCACTAACACATGACATTTGTGGGGTGCTTTCCAATTATTGTCGTTCATTCATAGACATGATCTTATTTAATTCTTGGAGACAATTATTATCCCATTTTTATCATCAACAGTGTGTTTACGATGAACACATTGGCCCTATCAGCAAAATCCACACCGTGGGACACTCTGTAGGAAAAAACAATCCAGTTTTTTTCAACAAATAAATTATAAGCAAGACAAATAAAAAAGAGAGAGAGATGGAGAATTTATAGAAAAGCTTAAATGACATGTTAGCTAACCATTGTGGGAACCTGATTCAGATCCTGATTCAAATAAATTGTATTTTCTAAAATGTCCCAGTTATGAGGCAAGTGGAAATTGAATACTGAGTGAATGAGTAAAAACGTATATGTGTATATTTATATTTATATTTATATTTATATTTATATTTATATTTATATTTATATTTTCTCTCTGTCTTTGAGACAGGGTCTCACTCTGTTGCCCAGGCTGGAGTGCAGTGGTCTGATCATGGCTCACGGCAGCCTCAAGCTCCCCGGGCTCAGGTGATCCTCCTACCTCAGTCTCCCAAACAGCTGGGACTACAGGTGCTCGCCACCACATCCGACTAATTTTTGTGTTTTGCCATGTTGTCCAGGCTGGTCTCAAACTCCTGGGCTCAAGTGACCGAGTGCATATTTGTTACTAAGGCTTCATTGTCAATGCTCTTAGATGTGATAAGGGCCCTGTAGTTATTTATTTATTTTTTTTAATGAGTCCTTACCTTTTAGAGATACAGACTGAAATATTTGTAGATGAAGTGACAGGGCATCTGGAATTGACTTCAAAATAATATGGGGAGGAGTGGGTGAAGGAACAGAGGAAATAAGATGGGTCTTGAGTTGATCATTGTAGACACTGAGTGATGGGCACACAGGGGCTTCGTTATATTATTCTATCTACTCTAAGTTTACATTTTAAATTATCCATAATAAAGTGCTTAAAAGAAAAGAAAGCAGCTGGGCGTGATGGCTCACGCCTGTAATTCCAGCACTTTGGGAGGCCGAGGCGGGCGGATCACGAGGTCAGGAGATGGAGACCATCCTGGTTAACACGGTGAAACCCTGTCTCTACTAAAAATACAAAAAATTAGCCAGATGTGGTGGTGGGCGCCTGTAGTCCCAGCTACTCGGGAGGCTGAGGCAGGAGGATGGCATGAACCTGGGAGGTGGAGCTTGCAGTGAGCCGACATCGGGCCACTGCACTCCAGCCTGGGAGACAGAACGAGACTCCGTTTCCAAAAAAAAAAAAAAAGAAAGAAAGAAAAAGGAAAAAAAAGAAAGCAATTCCCAGACGGGCACAGGGAACTGCCTAAGGTTGCACCCCCAGGAAACACAGAGCTGGCTCCCCTGCTGCAAGTCTAGGGCCCTGGCCATTCGCCCAGGGCATTGAACTCCTGCAATGCCCTATCTTCCTCGGCTCTACGTCATCCACTTCCAGGTGGTCAGTGCCTTCATGGACCCTGTTCCCTCCTCTTCTATGAAAACTGACTCTCATGAATGGCTCTGTTGAAATAATTTGCATGAAATGGTCATGACTGACGTGGCTTCAGCTATTTCCCTCCTCCAGAGGTGTTTGTCCATTGCCAGAGAAAGTAGCAAAAGCAGCTCTTCCCAATGAGCCACGTGTTTCAGCTCATGAAGCACTGTCCAGGAAGTCCTTGGCCTTGCTTGCCATTCACATCAGTCCTGGGAGATGAGCTGGCTGGGGATTACTCCTCCCACCTTGGAGGACATTAGATTTGTTCATCACCATCCCCTACCCTCACTGCCTGCCCCTGTCCATTTTCAAGGCTCTGGCCAAGCCTAGACCCTTATCTTGCCTTGCTGGAAATATTGAAGTAGTCTTACCAGCATGCTGTAAGGAAAGGGCATGGGTTTGGGGGCATACAGGTGTC